AAGGAAGATTAAGTTGTTTTACTTAACCTACATAAATGTAGCATTTTTCTTACTGATCCCAAACAATGAAGCTGAAGATGAGCAAAATTAAAGCAAAAATTCTAAGGGTCTGTTGCAGCAAATATTTTATTCCCACAAACAACCCCTTTGAAGTCAATAAGGCTACATGTGTACACAATGCTCCAAAGTGAAGGGGAAGGGTGGAATTAAGCCCTTAATCTAGTATTGCTTTTGAGGTTGAGGGTGCTGGATTGTATGAACACCAATTTTTATTCCTTTAGTATGTGAAGGAAATTTTGGCTCTGTTGTCTATAGCCAAGGCATAAGTGAAAACACATTTTGTTTTGGTTGAAATGTATTTTTCACATCAGCCATTCCTTTGGCATTTAAAGGCACTGTCTATACTACCAGGTTATTTTGAAATAAGCTTATTCCTCTTCACAAGCAGGAGTTATTTTGAAATAACAGGCTTGGTAGTGTGGATGCTCGTCTTGTTATTTTGAAATAAGGAGTGGAGACCTGCTCAGAGGGACTTATTTTAGGAAACATTCTTATCCAGTGAACTTGCAGCCTAATTTCACAGTCCATTACTGCATAATAAAAGTATGTTTTTTAAAAAAACATCAGACTTCTTGAAATAAGCCTTTTTTGTGTAAGGATAAAGTATATATTTTATAGTTAGGCACTGGATGTTTCAGCCATTCATCCTGTGTTAAATACTTCACAATCAGCAACTGTAATTTATTAGACCGTCTGGCAAATTCTGTAACTCTCTTAGGATTCAAATGGATTTTGGAGGAAACGGTGAGCCTGTGCATCTGTCTTTTACTTTTTTTGGCAAGTGCACACATTCAAAATAAAATATTTTTATACCTTGTTAGATGGGCACTACCATTTATTTTATCATCAGAAGACATGCTAGTTTACATATATTAACCTGCGTGAATAGAGGACTTTGATTATGGTAAGCCAATAAATCTCAACAATTTTAATATCAGGTCTGTATTTACAGGCTCAAGTTGTAAACTACAATAAATTAATTCATAATGTGATACATAACCAAAGTCATCCTCTAACTTGTATATTAAAAGGATTTATGTGCAGGGGGGGAGCTATAGTAGTTGATGCTACTATTCGAAGAATATGGAGCAAAAACATACCTAGCATAGTAATTATATATTGTAACTGTGAATACCATACATGAAGCAAAAAGTCCTGATAAATCTCCTCATTATGAGGGAGTCTTGAATCTATATCACTATTCTGAGATAGTTATTTGAATTTACATAATAGTAGGATTATTAATATAAGGGCTTCAATAGTTTCCCTTGCAGAGAAATTGAAATACATTCCCCCTTTCTCTAATATATATATAATGTATGTATGCAATGGTTGAGATTATCAAACAGATCTAAGGGGTTTAGACACACCTATTAGCATTAATGGACAATATGTCTAAATCCCCTAGACTGCTATCACAAGCACAGTCTATGCATGTAATATGTTTGTATATAATATACACAACTAAATACTTCACATTAAAGACATCCTGAATCTTTTATTCATACAGCTCTTGTTAACCAGTTAGAAACAAACATTTCGGTTTCATTTTAGAAAAATCCCAAGTAGACCTGAACCAATAATAGAATATTACCTACTGCCAGTCACACGGAGGAGCTGACTGTTTCAGTCTGGGGTGTAATTTTGAGTACATTTAGTTAATGAGCCATTTTCAAACTGGTGTAGCTCCGTTAACTCCGAGGGCACCTTATAAGCAAAGTATATGCTGTAAACTATTGGTAACATCATAGTGTATATGGCTTTAGATCCACTTGTCTAAATAACACCCTTTCATCAACAACTGCAAAATACAGAACACATTATTGAGCTTGTGGAAGGTAGACAAAGATAGTCTTCTGATCTTTTCATAATTTCTGTGTGTCTGGTTTTGGAGCTTACATCCCAAGGTACAGGCAGCTGGGACAGGTAATTAATTCCCACTGTTTTAATATGCATTCTTTGAAGAGGTGGGGAAAGCTCTTTCGAAAGGTAAATGTGTAGGCTGGGACTTGGTTTACTGAGGTGTGCATATGAGTTACAGGAGTGGTAATGCAGACCAGAAAAATTCCATTTTAGGAAATGCACTTGAGTGGATTTCAGCTTATTCTACAGCGCTGAATCCACAGTTTAAAGCTGATGAATAGCACTCTGCCCTGAATCTGACTATACATTTTACTGCTCAACCACTCTTTGTATAGGCAACATTATATTGATTCCCTAGCCTTGAAGCTACAGTAGCATGAATTTCTTTCTAACTCAGA